CCCCCCCCCCACCCCCCTCACCGTTGAGCACCGCCCAAATCACCCCCGTGTCCACACATACCCCTTCCTTGTCAAACATAGGCAAGTGTGAAGTTTCACTTGGAGGTGCAACGTGTTATTGTTAGAAACATATACCATCAACAAAGTATTATGCAACATCAACATGCTGATGTTGCATATTATTTTGTTGATGGTATATGTTTTTAACAATGACACGTTGCACCTGCAAGTGAAACTTCACACTTGCCTATCTTTGACAAGGAAGGGGTATGCACGGACATGGTGGTGATGGTCGAACATTAAAAGTTAGTATTTCAGTCTAATATCGATGAATTCAACAATTTACAAAGAAACAAAAAGAAAACAATCACCCAACTCTGCAGGCAAGAAAAACAAAGAAACAAATGAAATAAATAAAATTAAAAATTGTAAAGAACAACTAAAGATATAAATTCACACGGTGACAAAAATAGACATGAAACATCGTGCAATACTCGTAATTGAAATCATGCATAAAAAATGTAATGGACATGAAAAGTCTTTGACGTACCAGTTACTGAAATCACACATGAAAAATGTAACATAATACAATGTACCCTAATACTACGCTACCAATGTCACATACTGAGTAATACAAAAACAGTACTCTACAAGTCGAGTCGACGGTGCCGAAATACTCTACGACGACCAACACTCCTGTACAGACGCCCTACTCATACAAAAATCGAAAAAAAAAACAACAACAAGAAAACAACTACAAATGCAGAACGCACACTACCAGTGACTACCTGACAATACTAAGATAAGACAACAAAAACTTAAAAGACATGAGCACAAAATAGGATGAAGTCGCATGCAAGTAGGGGAAAGCAGAGTGTTGGCCTCATGGTCATCGACCCCTCTTCCCCTTGAAGTTCCCGCTCTGCCTCCTCGTACCCCCTCGAGTGCTGGATGTCGAACTCCTCTTCCCTCTTGCGGATGAAGACGTACCCACGTCGAAGCATCTCAAAGTACGCGTCGGTGGGGGAGGAGGGGCTCATCGTCGTTGTCGTCGTTGTCGCCACTATCGCCGCTCTCGCTCTCCTCCTCACTCTCCTGCTCACCCTCTTTCTCCTCATCCTCCTTCCACACTGTCGGTGCCGTCTCAGGATCATCCTCGTCGATGATGACAGGGTCGCCTCCCGTCCTCACCACAACAACCCTCGTACTAGCCTGTGCAACCATCTCCTCATGACGGGATCCACGAGGCATTCCCAAGCTCTCCACCCTCGAAGACTCTCCAAGTGCAGCGCCTCCCTTTACAGGCACGGGGCGTGGACGAGGCACTCCATATGCTTGCGCGGAGTCTACTAATGCACAACACGCGTCGGTGCTCTCAAAGCGTGGTCCAAGGTCGAGGTGGACACTCCTCCGCCGCGACCTCGGTGAGGCTCACAACCTGCTGCTGCAACCTCCCTCGAATATTCTTTCATGGGTTTTGCTTCTTTTTTTTTAGGGGAGTATGCTAATATGATATTAATGAGTAGTTTATGTACTCTTTTATTTTTGGGTGGTTGGTTGCCCATCATGAATATGGCTATTCTTTATTGGATTCCGGGCTCGATTTGGTTCAGTATAAAGGCCGAAGGATTTCTGTTTTTATATATTTGGGTTCATGCAGCATTTCCACGATATCGTTATGATCAATTAATGAGACTTGGCTGRAAAGTCTTCTTGCCTTTATCATTAGCATGGGTAGTTTTTGTATCTRGTGTTTTAGYAGCCTTTGACTGGCTACCTTAACCACTGCCAGTATTTACTCTTAGGTGCCCATGTAGTGGTGGGTGCCACAAGATCTCTTCGATATCAACGTCTTCAGATAAGGACAGGAGCGCGGAGGTTAGGCAGCGAAGCAGTATCATTGAGTTGTCGTCCTAGCGTCACGAGTTCCCAAACCCGGCTGAAGGCGTGCAGTGAGCTCAGTGACACGACAGGTGGAATCCAAATCTATGTTCATCCTCTCGAATAACGCCATGTCGCACACATCCCTCCACCGTTCTCGTGTCACGAATCCTCAATCTCCCTAGCGTGTGTGGGGATCCTGAGCCTCTGTTTGTCGGCGACAACGATGGATCACCCTCACGTGGTCTAGAAGGAGCGGGCGGCATCTCTCCCGTACCTGGTGCTCTCTCATGCACGCCCCCCGAAACCCCTGGAACATCTGCCCTGGTACGTCGTCCGTTGGAGGTAGACCCGGACCACACTGGCGACGCAGGGCCCCATGGAACTGAAGGTATCGTCTGCCACTGTGGATGGGTGAGTCTCGGGTCAAAGATCTGTCGGTCCAGTCGAGTCACATCGCGCACAACGGTCGCCGCCAACTCCTCTGCATCCAATAGACGATCAACCTCCTGTGGAGCCGGTCGTCGAGGACGTGGAGGCACAACGATCAGCTCGAACCCCAAATCCGTGATAATGAGAGGTGGCACATCATGCAGTGCCACCTCAGCCGACTGCAACCGCCGGGCCTTGGCCAAAAGCACGCCCGAGAACGGGATAACTGGACCCGTCTCTGTCTCGTGAACTACGGGCCGTACGTCGCCAGCCCCCCATTTCGCCCCTGTCCACCCTCCACAGCCTCATCCGCCGCTTGTGACCCACACTCCACAGCCTCCTCCACCTCTGGTGCCACTCCCTCCATACCAGGGTCCTCCCCTGCCACTGCCCCACCCTGCCCACCATCTCTCCCTCTCTCTCGACGCCTGCGCTCCTCCAAGGCCTGTGCGAACGCTTGAGCACATGGTCGCTGGATGCCATTAGTCAATCCCTCTCTCGCTCCATGATGTCGCGTGCCGCATCTGGAAAATCCGTCGCCGTTGTCTTTCTCGGGGTCTGCGTCCCCATCTCGCCTGCCGCCTCGTCTCTCGATGGCGCCCAATCCGTTGATGTTGCCCCGCCGCAACTACGGAGAGCCCCCATCAACATATCAAAGTCGAAGTGGGTCCCCATCTCTGAACCTGACCACCCTGTGGGAGGAGACATCCCCAACCCCCTCGCTACATCCGGGGTGAAACCTCCCAGAACTAGATCAAGCTCCTTCGTGATAAACTGTTGCATGAGGTGCTCCGTGGCGTCCTCACTGCCCTCCATGTCGTCCACACCATCATGCGCCATATTAACGCCTGGCAGCGCTGCCGCTGCCGCTACCTCTTCCTCCGCTGCTGTCGTTGTTGCCATCTCGCCGTCCACTGTTGCAGTTGACACCTCCTCCTCCGCTGCTGTTGTTGTTGGTACCTCCTCCTCTGCTACAGCTACCTCCTCCTCCACTGTTGCTGCTGCCTCGACCTCCTCCTCCGCCCGGGCTGCCCCTCCCTGTCCACCGGGGTGGCACAGTGACCACCCTCCTCTTGCAAGACCCCCGGGGAAGATGATCGTAACCTCAACTGGCGGATCACCGTCGGTAGGTCTATGCAGAAGTCCGTGTCGAGGCAAGGACGGCGCCAATTCCTCTGTCTCCGCCGCTGCAGTGCCCGACTGAAGTGGCTAGACGGGCGATGGTGGTGCAGGACTCGGAGTAGGAGGTAGTGGAATGGACGACTCTCGCCTCGTCGGAGCAGGAGTCGTTATCCGCGTCTCTGTGCAGCTCGTGCCTGCATGAGAGACCCCGATTATGTCATCTCGCACATGACCCGTGGAAGCCACCTCCCTGAAAGGGCCCCACCAATCCTCGTCTCCCCCCATCATCTCCCTCTCGGCCCGGTCCGCACCCGCCCTGTGGTGTATGTCCTCATCTCCGCGTCTTCAGCATTGTCACGTGTCTCGTCGATCTTGTGAGGAATGGGGAGCGTCATCTAGTGCCTCGGGTACCTGCTCCTCATTCGAGTCATCGTCCTTGGGAAGTTGGGGTACAGACGGAAAATGCAAGCACATCTCTAAAAATCGACATCATTAGAGGGTGGTGTGGAAGCCTCGATGGGATCGTGCGTAATGAGCGCAACCTGCTAGGCAATCTCCTTCTGTGTTATCCCTTTCACATGCCCGTGCGCACCGCCTTCACCTCGAGTCCTGCCTTGGAGTCAAGCCTGCCCTCGTCCCACTGCCATGGCAGCACGTAACCGTGTCCTGCCCGCCAGTACTCTGTCAACCACACATTCGTTGTGATCTCAACGAGTTGCATGACCTTCTTGAAGGCCAATGTGTTGCGCTTCTTCGTGTGGATGCCCTCGTGGACTGCCCAGTTTCTCTCCGCAGGAGAGGCGCAAGACCACATGTGCATCACACGAAGAGTGTATTGTTGCAACTCAGGCGCGCCAGCCCCGAACAGGGACCACCAAGACTTGCACTCGATCGTCTCGGCATCACCGCTACACGCGCGCCCACGAGCACGCCCCTCCGCCCCGCCCCAATCACCAAACCTGCCCTGCTGCATGTGGAAGTCCTGAAACTGCCGACAAGCAAGGATGTACTCCGCACCGTCCAACTAGAAACCCGTCTGCGCCAGGATGTACCTCTTGGCTTGCCTCACAAACCAAGCACGGTACTCCGCCATCTCGCCCGAAAAGTAGTGAACATGTCGCCGATGGGGGTTCGGTAAGAACCCTGCGCAGTGAGCCGGCTCCAGCATGTGTTGTGTGCGGGCCTGCACACGCCTAATAATCCTGTCGGCGAAGGACTGGCCCAAAGGAGCGCATGCGTCCTTCACACGGTGCACAAGATCTTGTGCCCACTCGACCACGAGCGACATGAACTACCCTCCACGATCCATCCGCCTAAGCAATTGCATGACGGGCTTCATGATATGGACGATGGTGGCCACCCTTTGCCACCAAGGATACAATATGATTTGTCGGTGCACCCAACATGCCATGTAGCACACGTCGGCGGACCACGGGATGGAAGCAAAAGCCCGTGAGTCGTCCCCTCACATCATGGCCTGCAAAGTGTTCTGCAGAGCCAGCAACCTCTCCAACATGGAGTAAACAGACGCAAACCGAGTCTCGCAAGAAAGAACAAGCCCCATGGCGGGGCTGCGCTTACTGAAAAAAATGAAGGGTGCCATGGTGGGTTTTGAAAAACACCACCAGCACACGAGCGCATGTGATCGTGTCCACAAACGTGTCGCAACTCATCCCCATGTCTGACAACAATTTGTTACAGACATGGACGGAGAATGAGAGCCAAGTGATTCTCCTCAATGCAAGAGGCATGGTCATCGAGGCCATCTCCCTTGCGCCCCCCACATACGCCAAAGTGGAGTTAGTGCATATCGTATTGACCCGCTGCGGTCCACCGAACCTGAACTCGTGGAAGATGGTGACCCATCTCGGAAGGACGTGCTTTGCATCGTCCGTCTCCCCCTCTCGATTGATTGTCGTGTACATGGCGACCCCTCGCGAGCCTGCGGCAAGGAAATTCACGATCGGTCTCCCGTCTCGTGATTTCCTCTCACGGGAGAGGATGGCGGCACCGGTCACCCAGAATGGCTGCCTCACCTCCTCCAATTCCTTTGCCAACTCCGCACGGTGGGTCTCCACAGTCTGCATGCTCGCAATCCCGCTGTGGCTGGGTAGCACAGCACGCAGCGAACTCCCAAGCTGCTGAAGAAGCACCTGGACATATGCCGTCCATGCCTCGTTGCGAAAGGCATTGAAGGAGACCCTGCTGGAATAAAGTCAGCGAAGGAAGGTCTTCTTGTGGCGAGCAACCCACTGGCCACCGTAGACCTAATCAACCCTCTATTGTATAAGCCTCTTTCCGGCTTGGGTGGCAGCCGTCTCAGCTCCTCCTTCCTTCCTCTTTTAAGGACCCTCCCCCCTCGTACCCTCTGTTACAGGCACCTGTCCCGTACCTGCTCGTCGCTGTCAGTCCCCGATTCTTTCCTTAATGACTGGATTGAACTTGACATGTCCTCGTATCCCTGAATCCGTCCTCGCCTGGGTCACGGGCCTCATGATCGATGTGGATCACGTCCTCCTCCATGTCACCGCCTCTACCCCCCAATGGGCGGTCGGGCGCACCCTGCCCCCCCTCCCCCCCCCCCCCCCCCCCACCTCCACCAGACGTTGCCCCGCCTTTTCTTCCCTTGCACCACCGGCCTGGGGCACATCAAGTCTACGCTCCGTTGCATACCAGCCGACCCTCTCCATCTGATCAGACTCGAACTTTTGTTGAGTCTGTCTTGCGATCTCGTACAAAGTCTTGTCGCTGACGTCCTTACGGTAGTTAGTCTGCACGAAGTGCCTCGTGACTTGGTACTGTGTCCCTTGGAAGACTTCGTTGCAAAACGTGCAACTCAACATCATCACCCCCTTGTTATCGACCTTCTGGCCAACGACAAGGTATCAATACATAGGGGAGTGACCCCTATACGTCTCCTGCACATGTTCTGCAGCGGGCTCATGTTGGCGCCGATGTACCCTTCCCATAGCGACCGCCCTCTATCCCACTCTGAAGCGTCCACCCAGGGCCCTCTCTACGAGGCCTCACAACCCCCCCCCCTCCTCCCCCCCAACCCTTCCCCCCCCCCCCCCCCCCCCCCCCCCCCCCCCCCCCCAACCCTTCCCCCGCCTCCGTCCGCCTCTGGTCTGCCTCTGCCCCCCTCCTCACAGACCTGCCCGAACACCGTATCACAACACCGCCCATTAAGAAATGGTCGCTAAACGTCTGCGTTCAATCGCGTTCAACGTCGTTGAATCGCGTTGAAATGCTTCAAATTGCGTTTGACGTCGTTAAATTAAAAATTTAAAATTTAACGACGTTCGTTGTCGCCTGCGCGTCGAAATCAGCCGCCGTCGTTGACGCTGCTCCGCTGGTGCTCCCGCTCCCGTGCCACTCCTGCTCGACTCCAGCCGCCTCTCCCGCAGCTCCTCTCTCTCTCTCTCTCTCTCTCTCTCTCTCTCTCTCTCTCTCTCTCTCTCTCTCTCTCTCTCTCGTGCACACGCACGCGCGTTGGACGCGTGACAAACCGCGGCAAAAAAAAAAAAAAAATCACCAAAGATGGCGGTGTCGAAAAACATGCTAACTCACTCACTAATTTTAATTTTTTTTTTTTTTTTTTTAGTTTTATTTTCTTGATTTTATTTTTATTTCAAACTTGGTATGAAATTTGGATGTAATGCTCAGGAAAATGTTGTTTACTTTATGTTTCTTCATAATATATATATATATCATATTTTTTAAATTGTTGGTTTTTTTTGTTTTTTTTTTTCCGCATTCGGCCCGAACGACCGAACGCATCCCTAAGGGTTCCCATACGTTCGGGCGTTTAGCCCATCCCGAACGCCGGTTACCGTTCTGCCATATGTTTTGTTTATAAATAACCCAAAATTGGAAATTGTTTCTAAGTTGAATGGTGTAGACTGTATAATCCTTATGCTATAAAATAAGTTAGGGTATTGAGGTTTATCTAACTAAGAGATAATTAACTACTTATATGAAAAATAACTTGGGGTCTTGGTGAGAGTGTTTACTTATTGTGGTATGAATTTGCATGTGGATTGAGTGTAAGCTCTGCCTATTCTGAGTCTTTGGGATAATAGGTAGTTACTTTAAAGTTCACCAGGTGCTGGAGCGATAGGAGATAGTTTTGATTTGTGCATTATCTTCTGTTTTGGACTTACACTTGTACGATTTGGGATATCAACTCCCCTAAAGGCTATGTAGCACGACATACCAAGCCGGATAATCTGGTCGGATTATCTGGCCGGATTATCGGGGGCTAGGATTATCCGGAAATCCGGATGATTAAAAAAATGGCCAAAAAAAAGCAAAAAAAAAAAAAAAAAAAAAAGTAATACTGCGCATGCAAAATACAATAGAACTATGTTCCTATTTCATAAAAAGCTTGATAAGTCATGGAAGGGTTGAAAGGGGGTAAGATAGGGAATGAAGGGGTTTAGAGGGGGGATGCTTGATTCGTTTTATAATTTTTTATCCAAATATTATTTTCTTTTTCTGTTTTATATTTTTATCTTTTTATCTGTTGAGATATCAACAATGGCCTCAAGCCAAAAGTTCTTCGTATCATTGATGTGAACAACAAACTTTTTTCCAGAATTTTTGGAATTATTTTTTTTTTTCGGTAAAAAAAAATGTTTTGCGCAGGGCCGGATTTTTCCATATCCGGAATTAATCCGGAATTTTCATCCGGATTGAAAATTCTGGATAAAATGACCTGCCGGATATCCAGATTTTCTACCTAGCCTCAAGGAGATTTTGCCCAAATTTCTACAAGATTTAAGGATTTAGGTGATTTTTTAGACTTTACATAGTTGAATTGTCGAACTTGTTTTTTTATATTAGTATAAATTTGGGGAGCTACTTCTCGTAGTGGTGATGCTGCCAACATTTTTACTAATTCAAGGAGTTTGATAAAATTGTCTTTGAAAAATTTATAAGTTTTATCTGACTGTAAATTTGGACTAAACCTTTTGATAGCTAGGTTGCCCGCTCGGACGTCCGGAACCCCCCTCACCATGCGGAATTGTCCGGTCGGACAGTTGGGCGGACGTTCTCCTGGGGCCCTCCGTCCGATCGGTGGGAAAAATGTGAGGGGCGCTTCTATAGGGGGGCGGGCACCTTGAGGGTGGGACACGGGCAGGGCCGAAGCCGGGGGGGGCAAGGGAATCTTTTTCCGAGGCCGGTAGGGCCTCGGAATCCGAAAACGAAAAAGGTCCGATCTGGGCCGTCAGATCTTCGAGATCGACGGCTCGAATCAGGCCGAATTCAAATTCTAATTTGAACCCGCTGCAGCCATCCCTCGCGCACGACTTCGCCCTGCCCCGTCGGCGGAGTTCGACGTTGCAGTTTGTCGAGCTCCGACGCCTAACACTCGCAATCCATGCGCCATCGCCCGCTGGCGCCAGGTGAGTTTCCTTCCCTTCTTCATCCTCCTCCTCCTCCTCCTCTTCCTCCTCCTCCTCCTCTTCCTCCTCCTCGTCCTCCATCGTCAGGACTTTTCCTCCTCCTCCTCCTCCTCTTGTCCTCCTCCTTCTCCTCCATCGTTGGGACCTCCTCCTCCTCCTCCTCCTCCTCCTCTTCCTTCTCCTCCTCCTCTTCCTCCTCCTCCTCCTCCTCCTCTTCCCCCTCCTCTACCACCTCCTCCTCTTACTCCTCCTCCTCCTCCTCCTCCTCCATCGTTGGGACCTCCTCCTCCTCCATCGGCACCTCCTCGTGACTTCCTACTCGTCGGGACCTCATCCTCCTCCTCGTCGGGACCTCCTCTTCCTCCTCGTCGGGACCTCCTCCTCCTCCATCGGGACCTCCTCCGAGTCCATCGGGACCTCCTACTCGTTGGGACTGCTCCTCCTCCTCGTCGGGATCTCCTCCTCCTAGTCGGGACCTCCTCCTCCTCCTCCTCCTCCATCGTCGGGACCTCCTCCTCCTCCTCTATCGGGACCTCTTCCTCCATTAGGACCCCTCCTCGTCCTCCTCCCCATCCTCCTCCGCCTCGTTGGGACCTCCTCCTCCTCCTCCTCCTCCTCCTCATCGGGACCTCCTCCTCGTCGGGACCTCCTCCTCCTCCTCCTCCTCCTCGTCGGGACCTCATGCTCCTCCTCCTCCTCCTCCTCTCCTCCTCGTCGGGACCTCCTCCTCCTCCTCTTCCCCCTCCTCTACCACCGTGACCTCCTCCTCTTACTCCTCCTCCTCCTCCTCCTCCTCCTCCATCGTCGGGACCTCCTCCTCCTCCATCGGCACCTCCTCCTCCATCGGTACCTCCTACTCGTTGGGACCTCCTCCTCCTCATCATCGGGACCTCCTCTTCCTCCTCGTCGGGACCTCCTCCGAATCCATCGGGACCTCCTCCGAATCCATCGGGACCTCCTACGCGTTGGGACATCCTCCTCCTCCTCCTCGTCGGGACCTCCTCTCCCTCCTCGTCGGGACCTCCTCCTCCTCCTCGTCAGGACCTCCTCCTCCTCCATCGTCGGGACCTCCTCCTCCTCCTCCATCGGGACCTCCTCCTCCATTAGGACCTCCTCCTCGTCCTCCTCCTCCTCGTCGGGACCTCCTCCTCCTCCTCCTCCTCGTCGGGACCCCCTCCTCCTCCTCCTCGGGACCCCCTCCTCCTCCTCCTCCTCATCATCATCATCGGGACCTCCTCCTCCTCCTCCTCGTCCTCCTCCATTAGAACCTCCTCCTCGTCGACCTCCTCCATTAGGACCTCCTCGTCGACCTCCTCCATTAGGACCTCCTCGTCGACCTCTCCATTAGGATCTCCTCCTCGTCCTCCTCCCCGTCCTCCTCCTCCTCGTCGGGACCTCTTCCTCCTCCTCCTCCTCCTCCTCCTCCTCCTCCTCGTCGGGACCTCCTCCTCCTCCTC